CTCTCTCTCTCTCATCCTCACTACCCCTCACATACCATCCCTGGCGTGTGGAGCACCAAGCCTTGTCGTCACCCACTTCCACAAGGTCGCTCTGCCTGCGGCTTCCGCTGCTCCGCCAGCGTTCAAGTCTCCGGTAAATATCTGTGATTTGCTGGGACGAAGGCCGTCTGGAAGTCCTGGAAATATGTGAGATCACCTGGAACTGCGCCTGGATTGTGGTTTCTGCGAGCTATTATGACCTTGCGAATCATTCCGGATAAGATATGAAGATTGGGGTGGTGAAGGTAATTCCGCAAGTCCAGTTGGAGGAGGGTCATCGTCTGAAGATAAGAGTTGGAGAAGAAGTTTTGTTGATTTATTTTTTTGTATGACGAGGAAATAACTGTATTTTGAGGAGATGTCTTCTGTACGCCTGTTTTTGTTGCTACTGTTGCTACTGTTGCTCGGGTCTTTGTTTCTTGTGTGGTTTCAGTTATTGTCGTTGTTGTTTCTGCTATGTTGCTGTTTTTGTTGTTTCTGGTGCTGTGTTGTTGTTGCTACTGATGATGTGGAGAGCCGACTACGGTGAAAGTGAAGGACATAAGGACTCTCCTTCTTGCACCACGAGTCCAGTGAAGGAGGGACTGGAACTGTTCGTTCACGGTACTGTTCTGTTCTCCACGAAAAGGCTCTGATAGAGTCTTTTTTTACTGTCGGTGATGCCAGGGCAGACCAGAGGCTTGCTGATGCTCCTTGATGACGCAGAGTACGGAGAGGCTAGGTAAGGTAATTATGATTAGAAAGTGCTAAGCCAGTATGGCTATATGGCACTTGGAAAGGGTACAAGGACAAGGATCTGGGATAGGACGATGAGAAGGGACGATGCCCAACCACAGGACCATCAGGGATTAAACACCGACATGCAAGAAGCGAGACCAGAGTCGTGCCGGCCAGTTCAAGAGATTAGGTACAGTAAGTGGAGAATCACAGTGAAGTCAGGAGGCAAATAAATACTGCAGTTGCGAAACGAGAAAAAGAGAAAAATCCCAAATATATTATAAAAACGGTAACTGAGAGCGGATATTGGAAGCTTTCCTAAAGATCACCTGAAGATAGATAATAGCAGGGCTCAATTACCCGCCAAACACACACCGAAACTACCACGTTGGTACAACGTTCGAACAAGTTTTAACACCTCCTAACCAGTTATAACAACCAATATAGCAAGTTGTAACAACGTTCTAATACGCCATAAACACGCTAAGCCAAGATGTAACAACTTTATTACAAGTTGTAACAAGCGGAAAATAGAGACAGTTTCGGTTTGTGTTTCCAGGGAACATCCTGGAAAGGGATCTAGGCAAGCCCAGTGGCGGTGTCCAGGATATTCCAGCAGGATTCTGGAAGTAGTTCTAGGATTTACTGTCGCTGTCAAGCACAGCTAGATGATGGAGACACTTCGACGGGAATGAATATGGAAAATAAACAGCGAAACTGCTAGGAATTTTCAACGGGCTGGAACACATAATGCACTGCTGCCAGGAATGCACAATATCCTGAAGTGCGCAACATCCTGGAACCCGCATCTGCCTGGTAAGTGCAACTTTGGTATGCGCAGATAGTGGGAATGCGCAATTGCCTGGATCATGTAACTGACATCAATGCGCAACTTGATGAGATTCACAACTGTTTGCAACCTACAGCTAATTCTTCGTGGTGTCGGAGCAGTCTCCGTGGTGTAGTGGTAAGACACTCGCCTGGCGTTCCGCGAGCGCTTTGTCATGGGTTCGTATCCTGGCCGGGGAGGATTTACTGGGCGCAAATCCTTAACTGTAGCCTCTGTTTAACTCAACAGTAAAATCGGTACTTGGTTGTAAAAACGATTCTTCGCGGCATGGGTCGTATTCCAGGGACCTGCCCGAAGCGCTACGCGTACTAGTGGCTGTACAAGAATGTAACAACTCTTGTATATATCTAAAAAAAAATCAATACCGAAAGTAATATAGGCAAGTCAAGACAGAGAAAGATATATTGCTGGAAGATACCCACTCAAAGTAGAGCGCTTGGATTGAGTGTGTAAAGTTACCAGAGAATTGTACTTCCTTGGAGGTGATCTTGCAGCCCCGGAATGTGCATGTTTGAGATGCTGAAAGTACCATGGAGGCGATGATGTTTGACTAGGTTGCTGGCGGGCGGTTGAGAATTGTGGGAATGTACGTGTGGGAGAATGCCGGAAGATTCTGTCAAGTGGAGGCGGTTACCTTGAGATGATTTCGGGGCTTAGCGTCCCCGCGGCCCGGTCGTCGACCAGGCCTCCTCGTTGCTGGACTGGTCAACCAGGCTGACCAGCCTGGTTGAACCAGCATGGTGGACGAAGCTCCTGGAAAGGCTGAAGTGGACGCCCCACAACTGGAAAGAAATGGGAGTACTGGAATAGAATGAGAGGCGTGAAAAGACTGGAAAGGATTGGAAGTACTCAAAATTAAACGGATAGCTGGAAGTGATAAAAGAGAGTGGGATAACTGGAAGTCAAGGACAGTGAGAAAGGTAATCTGGAACCGACTCGTGTACAAAAGGAATACTCAACTTGTACGACCAAACTGTACAGTGAACATCGGTCTCAGGTCTTATTTTAAATGTTCATTACTGGTTCTTGGCACCATAACTCACCATCACTATCGCAGGATGGGTGGGGCCAGGGATGGGGCTGGATGGGTGGGGCCAGGGATGGGGCTGGATGGGTGGGGCCAGGGATGGGGCTGGATGGGTGGGGCCTGGCATGGGGCTAGATGGGTGGGGCCAGGGATGGGGCTGGATGGGTGGGGCCAGGGATGGGGCTAGATGGGTGGGGCCAGGGATGGGGCTGGATGGGTGGGGCCAGGGATGAGGCTGGATGGGTGGGGCCAGGGATGGGGCTGGATGGGTGGGGCCTGGCATGGGGCTAGATGGGTGGGGCCAGGGATGGGGCTGGATGGGTGGGGCCAGGGATGGGGCTGGATGGGTGGGGCCAGGGATGGGGCTGGATGGGTGGGGCCAGGGATGGGGCTGGATGGGTGGGGCCAGGGATGGGGCTGGATGGGTGGGGCCAGGGATGGGGCTAGATGGGTGGGGCCAGCGTAAAGATCAAGGTAGCGTGAGCTAGAACACTTTCCCTTCCACACACCTGTCTTTATGGGGGGGGCCATCTTGGGGGGCTGGGGGGGTCTCCTGGGCCCCCCATCCCCCACCTCCCCCATCACTCCCACCCCCAGTCCATCTATCTACCCCCTCCCCTTCCCTTCCTCCACCCCCGGCCCCCCCCCATCCCCATCCCCAACGCTAGTGGTGATAGTTCTGGAACATCTCTGACCCACTTACCCCCCCCCTCCCCCATCCCCCCACCTGTCCACATCCCCCCCCCCTCTCCCTACCATTCCCTCCTGAGACCTCCCCACCCCCCCCCCTCCCCCTCCTACACCACCTCCCTCTCATCATCATTCACCTAGATCCACTCCCCCCTCCCTCCCCCCCTTCCCTCCCTCCCCCCTCCCCCCCATCCACCCCCTCCCACCCCCCTTCCCCTCCCTGTAAGGATGATAGTCATGTACAATCAGTAGCCTTTACAGCCGTCATGACAACAGCGGTGACGGGCACTATATGTACCTCAATGCAACATTTGTTTACACAGGTGTGATATATGACACGTGACACGTGTGTGTGTGTCATATATGGCACGTGACACGTGTGTGTGTATGATATATGACACGTGTGTATGTGTGTGTGATATACAACACAGGTGTGATGTGACTCAGATGTGATATAGAAATACATGTGTATGAAATGAGACACAGGTATTTCCTTAACTTTAACACTTGCGTGTGTCTTATGTCTGTGTTTATTTACAATTTTGAACTTGCAGGATCGAGTTGTTAGCTCTTGGACCCCGCTTTTCTAACTGTCGATTGCCTAATGTTCTGACTCCTGACCTATTTTCCTTTATCATATCTACAACATATATTTTTCTCTAACACACACACATACACACACACATACACACACACACACAGACACACACACACACACACACACACACACACACACACACACACACACACACACACACACACACACACACACACACACACACACACACACACACACAGGAAGCAGCTCGTAACAGCTGTCTAACTCCCAGGTTCCTCTTTACTGCTAGGTAACAGGGGCATCAGTGTGAAAGAAACTCTGGCCCATTTGTTTCCACCTTTACTGGGGATCGAACCCGGACCCTAGGATTACGAGTACAGAACGCTGTCCACTCTGCTATCAGGCCCTGTGTGCGTGTGGTCGTGTGTGTAGCGAAGGGGAGCGTGTGTGTGTGTGTGTGTGTGTTTATGTGCGTGTGTTAATCGGAGAGCGTGTGTGCTTTAGTGACGTGATTGCGTGTTATGTGTTTGTCTTTCATTGTATGTATATATGTGTGTTTGTATATGGAAGTATAGTGAGCGTGTATGTGTCCAAGGAGTGTCACGGACACGCTCATGTAGTGCCCTCACCTCACACGCTAATGTGGTGTTTGTTTCTCCTCAGGTCAGACCGCAACACGTAGTCAAGCAAAGCGCCCAAATCGTGACCACATCTGCTGCTTCGCCTGCGCCTTCTGACCCTCTTCTGCACCGCATTCTCACCGTCTGCGTCGTCTCTACGGTCTTCCACGTCGCATCCTCGCCCTTAAGGTCGTGCCCTCGGCCCTAGACGACGCATTCTCGACCCTCAACGCTGCATCTTCGGCCCTTAACGTCACAACTCTCGGCTAAAAGCGTCGTATCGTCGACTAAATACGTCGTATCCTCGACCAAAAACGTCGAATTCTCACCCACAATACGTCATATCGTCTCTCTTGCACACCCTTGATGTCAAGCCCTCGGCCCTTCGACACACACATGGTGTCCGCCTGCCGTCACACCACACCCCTGACGGCGCACCATTCACCCTCTGGCGTGAGGTCCTCGCCCCTGTGGCGTCACGCCCCGTCCCTCTACTGACGGCACGCCTACACCTGTTTCGTCCCAGCAGCGCCGTTCTCTGCGTCACCCGCAGCAGCAGATACTATGTCGTGCCCTCGGGCAGCAGACCCGCCAGCCCTGCACGTGGCCGCTCGTCCCGTGCCCACCAAGCCGACCCGACTCCTGTGCCCGGACGCCAATCATACCCGCCCGAGACGCCCACACAACACGCTCCTCGACTCCCCGAAAATGGGTATAACTTGTCCCGATCTTCTGCCCATCGAGAGGGTGTCGGAGGCCAGGCAGGAGGGGCCGACGCCGGCCTCCGACATGCCTTTCGACCTCTCCAAATCCGGCCGGGAGTCGAGTATGGCGTCGGCTTCCCGTCCCTTGGATCCGAACGACGCCGAGCAGCCGCTCGACCTTCGAGTAGATTTCAAGAAGCGACGGACGGTGGAGGACGAGAACATGAACCTCGTAACGAGCCCTGGCCGTAGTTCGCCTCGGGAAGCCCCGGGGCTACGAGTCTGCCTGCGTCAGGAGTCACCCGGATTACCGATGCCTTCTCCGTCCTCCTCGGGGCGCCCCGAGTCCCCGACGCCCTCAGACCGAATTATCCGACGGGTAGCGGACTGCTCGAGTCTGTCGTACCCGGTGCCACACAGCATGGCACCGGCGGCGCCCCTGCTGTACCCGCGGCCGCTGCCTCCCTCCCACCTCCTCTATGCCTCCGCCGGCAAGGAACTCCAGTACTCGCCTCTAGGGGCGCGGCCGGCGCTCACTCCGCCTCATTACTCCCTCATACCCATGCCAGGACGGACCTATCCCTACCCGTTGATGAGGGGCTACCTCACCGGCCCTCCTAGGCACCCGGCGCTCTACGAGGCCCTCAGCGAACGCCGCTCCGCTGAGAGCTCGCTGGCCGGGGGCGCGCTCGGACACCACGGCAAGCCCCGCGAGCGCTACTCGTGCAAGTTCTGCGGCAAGGTCTTCCCGCGCTCGGCCAACCTGACGAGACACCTGCGCACGCACACGGGCGAACAGCCCTACAAGTGCAAGTTCTGCGAGCGCTCGTTCAGCATCTCGTCCAACCTGCAGCGGCACGTGCGCAACATCCACAACAAGGAGAAGCCGTACAAGTGTCGGCTGTGTGAACGAGCCTTCGGCCAGCAGACCAACCTCGACCGACACATGAAGAAGCACGAGTCGGACGGCCCGACCATCCTGGATGGCGGCCACCGACGGCTCCTCCTTCCTAAGCCGCCACAGGAGGCGTGGAGGGGCCCGGCGCCCCCGCCCCTCACCCCCCTCTCCTCACATCCGGCCCTCACTCCCTTCACCCATTCTACCTTTTCTCTAAGCAGTACAACCTCCTCGGCCCACTCTCCGCCCCCCGACGCTCAGGACGAGGACGAGGAGGACATCGACGTGGAGAACCAGGACGAAGACGAGGACGGGGCCGGCGACGACAGACAAATCTCGTGTGAGGTGACCATCACTCCGGCGCCCATCAGTGTGGATGCTGCCGCCTCGGCCGGCGCCGGAGATAACATGGTGGAGGTGTGACCTGCATCCTGCCCTGCAGGTTCATAGTGTGCGGGTACAGGGGCATCCTGATGGGCACCCCGAGGGAGTTCCCAAGGGGCACCCCGAGGGTGTCCCATAGGAGGTGGGGAAAACGGCTTACCGGCAACAGAGTACAAGTGGATCAAACTTCCTAATTCTTTCTGCACCGACGCAAAACGGGAGTCTTGCAAATGTCCTACAAACACATGTCAACCCCAGACACAGGTATTATTACTTTATAGCATGTGCACCCAGCGTGATGCTGACATCTGTACAGGTGTCCGACATGTTTCTCTGAGAAAACTATAAGCGTGTGAGGCTCCTCGTAAGTTATACGTGTATGGTACAAGTATTCGACACTTCCTCGTGGACGTATGATAAGAAGTAAGATATATATATATATTTAAGACACCAGTGTACTTGCGTCTAAATAATGTGGTACAACAACCAAGATTATTGTTGTTGTTTTTTCTGAGAATATTTCCAGATCAAAACTCGTACGAACTCCGACGAGCACCTGAGGAACCGCGTGGCCGCCTTTAGTGTACATCTGGATTCTTGGGCGACACTTAATATCTATTTTGTATCAGTTGTACAAAACGTTGTTGTAATATGTTTCCTGTTGCAAGAGCGAAGACGCTCTGTTACAAGAGCGAAGGAGCTCTGTTACAAGAGTGAAGGAGCTCTGTTGCAAGAGCGGAGGAGCTCTGTTACAAGAGTGAAGGAGCTCTGTTGCAAGAGCGGAGGAGCTCTGTTACAAGAGTGAAGGCGCTCTGTTACAAGAGCAAAAAAGCTCTGCTGCAAGAGTGAAGGAGCTCTGTTGCAACACCGAAGAAGCTCTGCTGCAAGAGCGAAGGAGCTCTGCTGCAACACCGAAGGAGCTCTGTTGCAAGAGCGAAGGAGCTCTCTATTGCTACAGTAAGGGAGTTCCTGTAGCTATTACACGAGGGCGGTGCCACCCAACTCTATCGTT